TTTTTTCTTATCAATAACTTAGTAATATATTTACATTGACTTACAATTATATGGACGTCGGGTCCGCGCTAAAAAGTTTCCGAACTTATAGGGCGTTAAAATCGTATACAGAGCGTCATTCACGCTTTAGTCTTCGTTTGTTCGACTGACAGCGAAGCAAGCAAAATTAGACAGTACCTACTGCGATGACATTACAATTTACATTCAACGTTTTAGCTTTTTCATATTCCTTTACATGTCACTACGTTTAAATAGGTTGACTTGTGACATTTTTTTCGTGGTTTTTGTATTAGACCCGTTGTCCATTTATTTGTAAGTCAATGTATATTTATGTAAAATTTTTATAATCTACTTATACATAAATAACATAATAATAATATTTTAGTACACATTTATTATTAAGTGAGTTTGTTATAAACAATAAAGTAGCAAAAGTGACATTATTTAAAACATACTGTCAAGTCGGGCCAGCTTTGCACAGAGAGCCATTAGCGTCCTTCGAGTCCAACACAATAACGGCAAGGTATGACTCACCATGCATGCGCCATTTTGCCCAAGTGTTGATCAGACGGAATAAACTTACCCTGTTGTTCAGGCACTAATTTATTTAGACGTAGTTGTTGCCAACCAATATGGATCATTGTAGTCTGATTTATGAATAAATTCAATTAAATTAAAGGTCGACAATGTGTGCATTTGTCCAGCGAAGGAAGCAAGGGCATGGCATGCACTAATGCTTTTCATATTGTGGCGCGAGTAGAAGCCGTTGGTGACCAGGGCCATTCCTTTTCAGTACGCCAGATGTACAGCAAAGGAATGGTCGTGTGCGGAGTATTCTTACTACAACTTTCGATCTTATACTACAATAGCATTTTTTAATTAATAACTGTTTCAATGTTTTTTCGAAGTCATCTTTTTGTATGTCTTTAGTAGTAAGAGATAAATTACAGTACAATTTTATTTCCATGTAATGAGGACTTGAAGCTACTAGTTTCGGATTGATAACGGTTGTTTCTAATCTGTGTAGATTTCGATTCTTTCTTTTTAAGATTATTATGTTTTCTTACAAATTGACATGATTCGAAAATGGATATTGACGTGAAAATGAAAATGTCGTGTAAGAGGGTGGCACGATTCCATTTGGTTAATTCGCTTCTTCTGTAGTGTGAAAATATCTTTAATGTCAAAACAGTTGTCTAAATTATACAGTGAGTAAACAGAATGTAACAAAAAGCTGTAGTCTTGTTTCGGTTTATGAAAGTATCCATAAAGCCGACCGATTTTAGGAGCAAAATAAAATTATAGTAAAACATTTATGAATAATCTGACTGCAGTAACATTGTGGATACTGTCTGTTTTAGGTATTAACTTTCCACAAATAAGTAAGTTGTAGAAACAGTCCAATTGTGCAGTGTACGCGATTTAAATAATATGAAACTTTGAGGCACAGAAGCTGCTAGATTTTAGCTCCTTTCACAGTTTAATGACGTACTGAATTTCGCTCGGGGGTAATGCGGCCGATATTCATAGAATCTTTGTCCTGTAAAAACGAGCGCTTACAGCAATTTACAATATGGGCCCCAAAGTGCCCTTGCGAGAGAAGAATGTGGGCTAATGTCTACTCCTACTTGCACTCTTAACACGATGTAATGAGAGTGTGTTTTGATTTGCTAGCATTGGTTTAACGCCGCCTTAAGTTCGGTGTAAGTGGACTTGAGTATAGTAATATTGTAATGTCGAAGTACGATCTGATGAATAATTTAAAGCGACATCGTTCCGAAGTACGTAAATAGCGATGCGTGATGTGGATGTAACGAGTATTTTTATTTTCTATTAATATTTCTGTTTAAATCACAAAAACAAAAACAAAGATGTTTGAAATTTAAGTGGAAAGTAATTTTTGTAATTTTATAAAATGGTATATGTTTTATTTTTTTTTGTTATAAGCTTACTTTTGATTTTTGTGTTTTCTCATTTTCATTGTTTCAAATTAAAATTTTCTTAGCTTTTTGTAGTTTCGTTTTAATTTCTTCTTTTTTGTTAATGTTAATTTTAACTTGTCTTCAAGTAAAATCTTTTTTAGAATTATATTTTTTATAGCAAAAGGGCGGTAAATAAGACAATAAAGCAGTCTTTTTTTACGGTCACGCTAGAGTTGTTTCAGTGCCTTTGTGGCCAAACGGTTACCCAAGTTATACCGTTCAGGGAACAAGTCTGCAGGCAGGGGAATGCCACGCCTTTGCCGTTCGCCATATAAACGTGGAAGCGGAACGCTTCGTACGAATCCTTGGAATATCCACAACATAAGGGTGGAACCCCAGCCACCGTCTGGTCCTCCGACGATGGAAAGGGGATGGCGGAATTAAATCGTGTAATTTCATAGCACACTCTCCGTGATATTATCCTGTAGAATACCAATAATCAGGCAACTTTACTGTCATGTTCAAGGCTCTGCAGCTTTGCCTCTACTAATTTTATTCCGAGTCACCTATAAGCCTCTTGGCACGTTTATCGATTGAAACCAAAGTGGCCGATTGGTATATAGCAGAGCCATCCCATAGGTGGCAGCTGAAGCAATTGTCCCAGTGGAAGTAGCGCCTCACCTTGCTAAGGATGCCAAGCTTTCTGGCTGCATTTTTGGCCATGGATTCTATGTATGTGCCGAAGTTCAAATTGGACGACAGGTCCATTCTAAGTAGCTGAAGACGGTCGGCTATCCGCTCACGCGATATATGCAGCCGTAGACGCATACCACACCTAGAGGTGCCGGTGATGATTTTATACCGATTTATCGGATATCGAAGTTATAACAGGTAAAAGAACTAATACTAATTGCTATTTCTCTTCACCACACATTTTCTACTCTACACCAAAAATTTCATTAGTGCTTTTTAAATGCAGGATTTGCGGTATATTACTGCATTTTATTTGAGATGTTTTTGTTGTAGTACGGAGGGTATTTATTTAGCAATGCGGAGTAATAATTTTTATTTATAAAAACTTGTATTTAAACTGAATCCTTTTCTAATTTGCGAAACCAAATATCCGCCATTTTGCGGTAGGATGAGCGCATCGCGTGAGCGGCTATTGGTATGGGTATATCACGAAAAGTCGGAGTCAGGTTAAAGGGACTCCGTTTTGTGGAGAATAGACACGCCTGCGTTTTGGCAGCAATAAATTTGACAAGATTGGTATCGTCCCAATCGGAGTTTTAAGTGTCAAATCCAGGCGACTAACCATGGACTCTCGACAAGACGGATTTCCTCTCCACTGACTCTTGAATTGGTCAAGCAGCCAGATATGTTACGTAATTACTCCGGCATTCGTGAACCGACTTTGATGATCTTTTTTTGTTGGAAATGGGGTACCTAAGGGTATAAATAAAAATAGGATAATAAGAATAGGGAAATAGGGTCCCATTTAAATTTGAAACAAATAGTCCACCTCTAAGAGTTGCAAACTAGGGGATAAATCCGGTTTCGCTCACTTTCCGGTAATCGATTTAAATTAAACTTGGCAAATATGTAATTCCACGAAATTTCGAGCTCTTTTTTTTATATAAAAACGTTATTTACATACAACGTCTCATTGTACTTGAAGTCTTTCACTTTGTAATTACCAACTTTTACCTACGTATTCTTGTTAATTTTATATTTTCCCAGTCAATTACGCAGTTTAATAATTTATATAGAGTCAACTTCCATGTGAGTATTTGCGATTTTTTGTACAGCTCAAATTAACAATGCCGAAATCAAAATGAAAATCAAAATAATCTTTGTTTCATAGGTAAGCTTATTACACTTGAAATTATCACATTTGGTTAAACTCTACCACTCATTCGTAAGCCAGATTCCCCTGAGAAGAATGCGCGACAAACTCTAGGGGTTGCGCTTTGTGAATAAATATTTGTACACAATCAACATTTACTATTTTTTTAAAAAACACCATAGATCGAGACTACCTTTCTACGGTTTACTACCATGGATTTTTTCATCCAACTTTTCGTATAAAATTTTTGTTTCACTATAGTTTTAAGCCTCGTGGATGGCAAATTATGTATATCAACAGGAATCTTGTTACAGAAGCGTATACATTGCTACAAATGTGCTAGTTTCTACTTTGTCCGCCACAAATATACGAAAAAATGGTCAGTTCTTTGATGGTCTGCATATTCATAGGAGCGACACATTTTATCACAAACTTTTTTTTTTGAAATAATAAAGGTTCCGATAAAATGAGTTACTGAAAAATAAAGTATATTTCCAACAAAAATAAATTTAATAAATGATATGATAGATGGTGGACTAGAATATAGCAAACAAACAAGACCTTGTTCAAATTACGTTTCTACGAAAAAACAACTCACTTCCGAAACCGAAAACACATGTTCTGCTAAAAAAATTTTTACTACACACTACAGGCCAGCTCAATTTATAATATTAGTTACAGAATTACTTTTTTCTATCAGTTTTAATAAAAACAACTAACTAATAACTCGGTCGTTTCCATATTAATATTTGCACAACAATTTCGGTAAATTAATAAATAACGTAGTAATATTCGTATTTCTAATGAACACATTTTTATTATTTTTCGGATCTTTCATTTATTACTACTTTTTCCTAAGTGTTTCTAACTTTAGTTAACTCCAATAAACCCAATAACTAATCTATATATGTATGTCTTTTGTTCATGCTATAACCCAATAAGTCTATTACACCCTCATACATTTTTACAACATTTATTTTACTATGATAAATGTAATAGTACAACAATAAATATATTTTGTAGTATAATCAATTAGTGTTCGCTTTCATTTCTCTTTTAAGCCATATTTAATTGGTTTCATAATTTAACTTTCAATTGTATCAAAACTAATATTTCTTAATGGGTTTTGCCTCGGAGCCCTCGATATAGTATTCTTTATTATATTTGTAAATGTATCACTTTTTTCATTAGTAAGCATAATTCTCATCATCAATTATCATGTTCTTCTGGCTTCTTCTCGCATATAAACAGCAACTCTCGCGTACAAGGATCGTCTAATAGTTTCCCAGTTCTGCGCACAGATCCACAATATTCGTTTCCTGCCGCGTTGTTTGGTTCACCTGGACAAAATTCTGCATATCCGGCTTCGCTTAGGGTTTCATCTGTAAATTATAATATTTTTTACAATTTTTAGTTTTTTTTTTTATAAAAAAGAAGGAAAACACTATTTATGTCTATTTTCATGAAGAATAGACATAATAAATAATTTGTTTCAAGTTTATCGTTGGTACGCGCCTCTTACGTTATCGCACGATATTTTTTTCAGTCAATAGCAGTTGTACACAAACAACGAAACATAACATATATTTTTGTATTATGTTTTGAGGTATTATACTTTGTTTCTGTTTTGAAAGTGAATATAATTAATTTAAAAGTTTTATTACAAGATTTCAATAATTGCTTTGTCATTGTTTATTTTTTAAAAAACTATTCAAGGCATATTTACTTAACGCCCAGCAATCTCCAGCGTAGCTGTTTATGTGTCGAGTTAGCATGTTAGCAGGTTAAGTTATAATTTATTTTTCAGTTAATTGTTATTACTGTAATTAAGATTGTAAGTTAGTTAAGGGCAATAAATTTAATATTTTATACATTTTAATATATATAATTTGATACAATTTAAAGTTTGGATAATTATAACATACAAAGAAAAAAAAAATTATTAATTTTAATTTTCAATTTGTATATTTGTGACGTCCACTGTGTTCCGTGCCGCAGGAATCATCGCCGAATCCACTGAAAATCAGCGTCGTACCACACTTTCAGTGAGACGGCAATAGCTGAGTGGATGACGGATTCAGTGGCTGCACAGCACACATCCTGTCTCCCTTATCTTTCTTTCTTCTATTTTTTATGTTTTTGTTTTGTTTGTAAATTGTATGTGTGCTGTGCTTTACATTGAATAAATAATTTCTATTTCTAATTTCTATTTCTATTTATTTTGTTGTAAAATGAAAAACGTTGTAGGAACTCAGTAAATACTGTAAGAAGTTGCAAGCATACCATTGGCATGCGATGCGTTTAGCGAGTTTCCAGTCATTTCTTCAACACCACCCGCATTTTTGTATATAAATATTTCCGAGCGAAAGATCATTGACATTATTTCTGCATCTCTTAGTCTCTTTAAGATTCACTTTGCAACTTAAAAACTCTAATGTTTTGCTAATTGAAGACTCACTGTTAATTGTTGTCCAACTGTGACCCTCATCCAGCGACCTGAATCCAATGAATGCAACGCCCTTTCCAAATTCAAAATGTCCAGGAATTTGATCAGCCGGATTGTTTTTAAAAATATCAACAATGACTGCGGCTTCCTTTTGACTGTTGATGATTGCTAGTTGACCACCTTCAGCTTTACAGGCGGCTTCCGCTTTGAACCAGTTTGCTTTGTTCTTGTGGAGTTTGTAACAATGGGCAGTACCGTTGTAAAACTGATAATCTGTAAATTATAATCATGATTCTTGATTATTTATATGGACCACCGAGTCATATAATTATGAAATTAATCTATAAAATGAAAAGTTCAACTCGCACCTTTGATGTGATTAGGCTTAATGATTCTGTGAACGAAATTAGTCGTTAACTTTTTATGCTTAAATATATTCAGATAGTTCATATTATTTTCAGGATTTCATGTCAAAAAAGCGCTTCTAACATATGATCACACTATACCAAGGGTACGAAACGTTTATATCGCATTCTACCCTTATATATAAATCCGAAAAGTAGTCAATTTAACACGATACGTGTAGAAACTCACCTTTATCAACAGTTCCACATTCATTGAGCAATAATGATTCAACCTTATATTTACAGATAAAGGGAAACGAATCATTCAACCCAGCCCTTAGGAACACCCCTTCTTCATTAAGGGTCACACTCTCCAGTTTCACCGTCATACTTGTATGTATCGTTGAAATGGAGGCATCTGTCATTAAGTGTAATGCTGTATCCATTAAGACTTCATTAGCGGGATATAAAAAACTGGATCCTGAAAACGAATTATTTAGTTCAGGTACAATGTGCATCACATCTGAGACTTATCGCTCATAGAAGTGCTAGCCTAGTAGAAAAAGTCTTGCCTTCTGCGTGGAAGATTCTGCGTTCAAACCCCACAGAGGCTTTCCTCACTAAGTTTTTTTCAATCATGTCCAGTTTGGTTTGTGAATTACCACTAATTTTCACGATGACAGAAAACACCATGATGAGACCCGCATTTCGGTGAAGGTTTAAAATTGTCATTACAGTCTTCATAGATAGAATACTGTAGCCTACTGTAGTCCATAATCAGGCTTAGTGCTCTCTTTAGAAGCACCCCATGTCCAGCCGCGGGACACACGTCAGTTGATGGTAATGACAGGAATTGAACGTCCTCAAGTATTTAGTTGAACATTTGACACCCATTAATAAGCAACAGAGACTGAGCTGGATGACATGTATAAGAATAAGAATCTATGTTAGCATACACATTAATAGCGCAAAACAGTACCTTCACTGTGACAGACGGCTTGGGCATCATGCCACGTAGCAGGTCTCGCGTGGAGCTTGAACCAACCTTGAGCATCTTTGAAGAAGGTATAATCGCATCTGATTCTCGGACTATTATCTGAGGGTGAATTCACAGGCTGGCCTCGAATTTCTGTAAATGTAAATAAAGCAGGGTAAAAATAAAGCTTCTCCTGTTGCTCCTTAACTAAGGAGGCTCAAAAAAACTGGTGGTATCGTAAAGCATTAACAAAGAGTTTATAAATTAACGAGTGGACGAACGAAATATTTATTTATTAGAGAAACATAATCATTAAACGAACTTTCATAAATTGGTTCTAGTCTGGGCGTTCTAGTTAGTTCCTCAGAGTGAACTCCGAGCCAAACCGAAGACCTTCTTACCCAATAAAGCAGCTCCAAACAGGATGGACGCAGTCGTAAATATATACATTGTGCTGTAAACGTCACTGTAGACAACACTACACACGATTGTCTTTTGTAAGTATCTGGCAAACGCAGTATGTATTATATATATCCACAATCTTGTTATTCTTGAACCGTTGAACTTCATATCTTGGGACAAACCAATTAAATTCCCGTAAGTGCTAGTAGTGTTTGGAAATTTTGATGTATTATGAGTTATATTATACGTTACCAGCCCATGACCTTGTCTACGTAATCTTTACATATCGGAATAATGCCGATGTTAATGGAATCTTTGTTCTGCAGAAACGTGCGGTTAGGGCAATTTGCAATCTGTGCCCCGGAGTGTCTTTGAGAGACAAGTTTAAAGATATTGACATTATTCCGTTAGAGTGCGAAGCTCTTGCTTTTAAGTTTGATTAATTTTGGAGATAGACTGGCGTTGAGAATTTAGAGTGCTTCCCTCGCCTATCTAAAAACCCTAAGGGTTGTCCATATTTTATTTTGAGAAGATTTTGTACCTTTGTGTATAGTTGTTCTTGACCATTGGTAGGGGAGGGACACTACGAGTTTTGGTCATACAGCGTCCGTCTCCGACCCTTTTCTGGCTAGTTCATCTGCTGCGTCGTTGCCTCGTGAGCCGCTGTGCCCTTTAATCCACTGTAGAGTTACGTGGTTGTGTATACATGCCTCCATGAGTGCTTGATGGCAATCATAAACGATCCCTGAGTTTATGTTATAGCTGTTCAGTGCTTGAAGTACTGACATGCTGTTTGAGAGTATTCGAATGGAATGATTCTTCTTTTCGCTATGAGTGCTCCTGCTGCCAATTTGATACCCATACATTCAGCCTGGAGTACTGTGTTGCGGTCACCAAGCGGCGTTGATACCCTGATATTATAGCCCTGTCTAACTGTCTAAACATTAGCCGTAGGCGGCAACCATAAATTGATATTATGACCAAATTGATATTAGGGTTACATGGTTGTGTAATTAGAACCAACAACTGGGCTAATTATAAACATAATGGTTTTTTAATTACTGCCTCCGTGGCCGAACAGTTACCACGTCGGACTGCCATGCAGAGGTTCTGGGTTCGATTCCCAGGCCGGGAGAAATATGTGTATGGCATGTGTACATTTATTTCTCTCGTGAGTTTAGGTGTAATTTGTAGTTGTTTATGTGTGTGTCCATGGCACCCGCGACACAGGGTTACCCTAGTGCGGGGCTATGTTGAGTGTGTGCGTTATTATTAAAATGGTACGCTAATAATTCGTGATATGGTCACAGTATTCTTAAAAAATGTATAAAAACTGTAGGAAAAACCAACGCTAGTGCAAGAGGATGTAAGAACCGATATGCAATCTCCACAATACCAGGATAAATATTGATCTTGATTTTTGTGAACTGAGATGGTAACGATTAATTTATTCACAGAATATAAACTCTTCAAAAAAACAGGACAATGTTAAAAATTCCATCTCCCACCTCAAACGTGGTCAGAGGCGTATAAGACATGCCTGGTCGAAGGGGGACATCTCGCCATCCAATCCATCCAATATTTTCGGTCAACGTCCTCGTCATACCATGCTGTCGGAGTACATAGAAACCTTGGCTCTGGGATATTATAAATTACACGGAACTTGGATTAATACTCTATACATGGTCAGTTTCTTTATTTGTATACAATATAACACTAAAATCGTTTGTAAAAAAAATTATTGGTTCCACGGACCACGGAGCATATTTTGTAGCTTGGAATGTGGGAATGAAGAATTGGTATTTAAGAATGTCCACTTTCATGCGATGTTCAATATTTTGATGGTAAAATTACATTAATCTATTACAAATTATTATCGACTTGCGGTCATTTTGTTTTAGAAAAAGATTTACATGTTCAATGTTTGTTGGTATACCATAGCTACGAATATTTATTTAATAAGTGAAAAAACTCTGTTTTTGTTTAACATCTTTGTTCTATATTAGATGCATCTGTACAAAATTATCTATGTCTTCCAGGCCAAACTCTTGAAGAAGCTGGTTATGAGAGATGGTCTCCAGTGGAACCTAACGCTGTGCCCCACAACAAGCCAGTGTACTGCGGGTCTATGTACCGAAACGCTGTGTGTCGGTGTAACCTCCTTACATCGTCATCCCACTTTTTTGTATCGCCTCCCTCCATTCGTATCGTAGCGTTTTTTCTTCTACTCGTATTTAAATTCAAAATTTTGAATTGTTCCATTCTCTCCCTCGCATTCTGATTTTATTTCGTTCCATCGTGACTCCCTGCCCGATCACGGTAGCAAACATATCTCTCGTAAATTTTTTTATTAAAAATTTCTTCTGCTATAAACATTGAAAACATCACAAAAAATCTTGTAAAATATTTTTTATAAAACCAAATTTATTTCCACTTAAATTACCAATCTCATTAAGCAAAATCTGCGGTCTACAGAACATTCCAAGCGGTACCAGCAGCGGCACATGCTTTCACTAATGTGAAATGTGGATTCTACATTACAATCCACCGGAACTCCACCAGCCCTTCACTAGCGCCCGAACTAATTCTCAAGAACAGATAAGAAGAAAACACAGTGAAATTTTTATTCGTGAAAACTGTCAAAAGTGCGAAAAGTGTCATTACATACATAAGTCCTTATACACTGCAGATCACCTCATATTTCAGACAAGTGACGACTGCCGTTACATTCAGCTGGTTACAAATGTAACTGAACAAGGATTTCATTCATGATGGAAAGGTTCCGTCGTGCACAAAGAACGACGAGACTAACATTTACTACATAATATTTGGCAATTTTGGAAGAATTAAGAGATATAAAATTCATGCGACGCGAAGTTAAAAAAGTGTGACATGCGACTCATTCTGCAGGGAAAAATCCAGGGCGGCAGATGACGTGGTCGTGGAAAAACCAAATGGCTTCTAAATCTTGCAGAGTGGATTAACATAAGTACCACAGAAATGTTCAGAGCCGCAACTTCACGGACCTAAATTGCCACAATGATGGCCGACCTCCGGTACGACATGGCACCCCAAGAAGAAGTGCAACTTAACAATAAAGGATTTATCATCTTTTCCTGTAAGTACGGCCTAGAAAAGGTGAAAGAGTCCACCGCGTGAAGAAGCTGTGCAACCGATGATAGGCAAGGGACGGCCACAGTGGTGCCAAGTCACTTAAATGCATATCGGCGCAACGGTACATGGACATCCTTTGCTACAGCGCGATGTTTCGAGGATTACCTTTTTGTCTGGTATCAATGCTACTAAGACTGTTGTATTTATTAAGACTTTAGTAGAAGGATATAATAAACTGGCGCCTGGAAAAAATCATACTTAGTTCAGTGATTGAGACTTATAGCACATAGAAGTTTTAGCCTAGTGGAAGAAATCTTGCCTCCTGTGTGGGAGTTTCTGTGTTCAAACCCCACTGAGGCGGGAGGTCTTCATAACTAAGTCTTTTCCATTCGTGTCCAGTATGGTTTATGAATTATCACTAGTTTTCACGATGAACACCATGATGAGACCCGCATTTCGGTGAAAATTTCTTCATAGAAGCTTTCATAGACAGAACACTGTAGTCTACTGTAGTCCTTAATCGGCGATGAGCCAGAGTGGTAGATTCAATTGCAACCCATGTCCAGCCGTGGGACACACGTCAGTTGATGGTAATGATAGGAACTGAACCTCCTCAAGTATGTAGTTGAACATTGGACATATTTAATAAACAACAGGGAATGAATTGGAGACGAGTATTGTGATTCTGTGCGCAGAAACGGTACACCATTAGACGATCCTTGTCAGCAAGAGTTGCTGTTTATATGCGGTAAGAACAAGAATCTATGTTAGCTGTGGTATTAATAGTGCAGATCAGTACCTTAACTGTGACAGACAGCCTGGGCATAATGCCACGTGGTTGGTCTCACGTGGAGCTTAAATATCAATATCTCTGAAGTAGACGTAGTCGCATAAGATTATCGGACTATTTTGTGAGGACGAAAAAAGAGTTTTCAGAGGCAGGTTTTGCTTCTTAGCCGCTCACGCGATGCGCTCCTCCTACCGCAAAATGGCGGCTATTTGGTTTCGCAAACTAGAAAAGCATTCAGTTTAAATACAAGTTTTTATAAATAAAAATTATTATTCTGCATTGCTAAATAAATACCCTCCGTACTACTAACAAAAACATCTCAAATAAAATGCAGTAATACATCGCAAATCTTAAAAAGCACTAATGAAATTTTTGGTGTACTTGGATAAATATGATAATATTCCGTTTGAGTGGTTCTAACGTTTACCATGAAATTACTCCTTAAAGTATAGTTTATAAACATTTATATTCAGGGTAAAGTTAAAAAACGCTACTTACGGTATGTTTTCAGTAAATAAACACCTAAATCACCAGCCCAAACAATAACCTTTCCTCTAAGATAATAACACACACGATTGTCGTGACGTATTTTTGAAGTTGTATATTTTTTTTAACAGACAGACCCAGGCATTAAAAACTTTATGGTGTGCTAGAGTAGTTACCGAAATAGCAATTCATATTAGTTCTTTTACCTGTCATAACTTCGATATCCGATAAATCGGTATAAAATCATCACCGGCACCTCTAGGTGTGGTATGCGTCTACGACTGCATGTATCGCGCGAGCGGTTAGCTAAGGAGGCTCAGAAAAACTGATGGTATCGTAATGTATTAACAAAGAGTTAATAAGTAAATTTCTGGACGAATGACATACACTCCCGGATACATAATTCGCGGCACCTCGCATTTTCAGTATTAAATGCCCTAAACCTAAACAATGTTTGATTGATCAAAAACTATTGAGCAATTTTGAAATTTACTAAACGTCTTTTCCATAAATTCTTGTAGGAAATTTGGATTTGCAAAACGTTTTCGACGATAATACTACTTTTGTGTTCTTTAAGACAAAAATGCGCGGTGGCTCGAATTATGTGTCCGGAAGTATATTTATTTATGTTAAAATGTTTAAAGTTACTAAATAAATTTATTGTAATAAAAGCATATCAAAAAAAGATA